AGGAGGAGGAGGAGGAGATAGGTAATAAAGAAAGCCACAGTCTTCTGTATAGCTTGCACAGAACTGAATTTGAGGCTGACAACTACTTACGTTACTGCTTCTGGAGGAAATGAGAATTTCACATTAGAGTTTCACTTTTGAAATTACCAAGTGATTCTTCATTTCAAACAGTGGTGATTGTGCAAAACACAGACACAGAGTGCACATGCACCATGGAAATACCAAAACTGAAGATTAATGATCAGGTTTAAAACAGCGGTGTTTTTCAATGTTTTAGAACCACAAATGCTTAAAACCGCAAAGAGAAAAAAACAATTCAGGAAATGAAATTGTTGGTAAGGTTGAGTAACTGCAGAGCTCTGATTTCAGTCTGTACCACACTGCTACGCCTCCACATTGTGACAACCTTTCCTTCCTAAGTAATTCTATTCACACCCCCTGTCCCTTTCTTTCCCTTTACCCTACAGCCCCACACTCCCCATGCCTTATCCCTGATGGCAGCAGAAGAGTTAGAGAAATCACAGCATCCTGATCCAACGCAACACAAACTAAAAATCTAAGCTTTTGGAAAAAAATTTTCATCAGAATGAGAGTCATTTTACTCATACCTTTTTAGTATTACCTCTAATGTGAGCAGCCATCTTGTGTATAAACATCTAAAAGACAAAGGTCACCAATCTGGCCTTATACTTTACAGAATGTGACTTCACCTTAGTCTTCAATTAACACTCTCTGTTTAGTATTCCAGGTCTTCAAAGATTTAAAAAACTGTTGAAGAACAAGTCCAGTGGCTAGTCATATTCCCAAATAAGGAATCTAAACAGCAGAATAAACAGGAAAAGGCATAAAATTTTAAATTTACTTTTGCAATCTTGGCAAAGAGAAGGCCTTCCAAGCAAAACATCAAGGCTAGAGACCATCCATAAAAACAGATTTGACTACATAAAAATAAAACAAAAGATGCCATAAACAGCCCTAGCTGGTTTGGCTCAGCGGATAGAGCGTCGGCCTGCGGACTGAAGGGTCCCAGGTTTGATTCTAGTCAAGGGCATGTACCTGGGTTTCGGGCACATCCCCAGTAGGGGGCGTGCAGGAGGCAACTGAATCAATGTTTCTATCTCGATGTTTCTAACTCTCTCTCCCTCTCTCTCTCCCTTCCTCTCTGTAAAAAATCAATAGAATATATTTTTTAAAAAAAGATGCCATAAACAAAGTTAAAATACAAGCAACTAATTTGAAAATATCTACAAACATCTATGTATACTAACAAAAGGGTAATATGCTAATTAAACCAGACGTCTTCCGGACAAAGCCACAGCTGTGAGGGCTGAGGGCCGACAGCGCGGGCTGGTCTGGGGGCGCAGCCCCTTTCGCATAGGCGCTGCGGGGGGTGCGGGAGAGGTTGCAGCGCGAGTCCAGTCTGGTCCCACCACCCGCACTGCGGCCCCTTCTTCCGCAGAGGTGGCAGCGGAAGAGGCCGCAGCGCCTCGGTCCTGAAGCCTCCACAGAGGCTGAATGGGTGCAACCACGGTGCCTCAACCTCTCACAGCCCCTCCCCCAGCTGGCCTGGCCCCAGACTGCCCCACCCCCCGACCAGTGGACCAGGGACGGGGCCAGCACTAAGAAGCAAGGGCCAAGGGCCGGCAGCCATGTCAGCCAGCAGAGGCAGGAGCAGCAGGGTGATGGGGATGGCGCCTTCCCCTGATCAGCCCAGTCGCCTCCTGCAGAGGGAGGCTAGACTGCAGCTTAGACCCACTCAGAGTGGACCTAAGTCGTCAGTAGGACATCCCCTGAGGGCTCCTGGACTGTGAGAGAGGACAGGCTGGGCTGAGGGACCCCCACCCAGTGCACGAATTTTCATGCACCAGACCTCTAGTATATATATATAAGGCTAATATGCAAAGTGTCCCCTCAGGGGTTCGACCAGGAGACTGGGAGTTCGATCGTTTGCTATGACGTTTGCTGACCACCAAGGGGCGGCGTGGAACAAAGGGAGGCTCCAGCGAGCAACCAGAAAGCCCTGATCAGCCCAGATCACCGGCCAGGCCTAGGGACCCTACCTGTGCACAAATTTCATGCACCGGGCCTCTACTGCTATATATAAAAGGGTTCCTACAAATCAAAAAATAACCCAATAAAAAATAAATAAAAGCTACTAATTGGCAAATTACTAGTATAAAAGAAATGTAAATATCCAACAGACATAAAAAAGATGCTCAACTTCACAAATAATAAACAGATAAGTTAAAACTGGATTATTTTTCTATAAGTTTTAAAAGACTGATAATGCCCAAACTTGTCATGAATGTGGGAAAACACATGCTCACACACTACAAATGCTGATAAAAGTAAAAATTGGTGCAGCCTTTTCAGAAGACAATCCAGCAATATTATCAAAATTAGCCCTAAACGGTTTGGCTCAGTGGATAGAGCGTCGGCCTGTGGACTGAAGGGTCCCAGGTTCGATTCTGGTCAAGGGCATGTACCTTGGTTGTGGGCACATCCCCAGTAGGAGGTGTGCAGGAGGCAGCTGATCAATGTTTCTCTCTCATTGATTCTAACTCTCTATCCTTCTCCCTTCCTCTCTGTAAAAAATCAATAAAATATATTTTTAAAAAATATATTATCAAAATTATAAATGTGCACACCCTTTGCCTCAATATTCCATTTCTAAAAGAAATGGTAAAAGAAATAAAAAAACTTTTATTTGGTGAAACCAAGAGTTAATAATTAACTTCTTACTTCTTTCTTCTTACTTCTTAATTGAACAAACAGGTCAGTTCAAAGAATGCAAAAAAATGTAGGCAAAGATCACATAAAGTGAAAACAAATTTTAGCAGAGACAGCTAGTAAGTTTTTCATGATTTTACTTACAGCTATTGGACACAGATTTATCTCTTTTGATGAACATACATAGTAAACAGGGTAAATATAATGATACATCTCCATTTTGTAGATGAGTAAGTGGAACTGTAAGTCAAACACACACAGGCGTTTGTGTTTTGCCACTTATTACTGATGAATTACTTGATTTCTCTGCCCCTTTGTTTCCTCTGTTGCCACCTGCCTCAGTGGATCCCTATGGGAATTAAAGGTGGCCCACCAAAACCTCCAGAATGAAACCTGGTCCTCCTATTCCAAATCTTTTTCATAGTTTTCCACTTGACCATGCCTGCCCCTTCACAGTTGTCCTGTAATTCTAAGGATCCACACAAAAGTAGCCATCCCCCTACAATTAGGAACATTGCCTTTCCTTCTGATTATTTCTGATACATTTGATCCTGTATGCTTACAGACAGGCACTGTGCCAGGGACTTAAGATGGGAACAGGAAATGGCACTCGTGGAGCTACCTGGGAGACAAATTAGTATATAAAGAATTAAATATGGAACAGTCCTAAGAGCTAATCACAAGACTAAGAGCATCAGAAGCACCTGACACAGAGTGCCTCAGGGATAGCTTCTCAAAAAAAACAACACCAAGAAATCAGTATGGAGGTTTCTCAAAAAATAAAACAGAACTACCATATGGCCTGGCAATCCCACTTCTGGGTGTTTATCCAAAGAAATCCAAAGCGCTAATTCAAAAAGATATATGCACCCCTATATTCATTGCAGCTATATTTATAATAGGCAAGATATGGAAAGCATGAAAGTGTCCATAGATAGCTAACTGGATAAAGATGTGGTACATATATAAAATGAAATATTACTTGGCTATAAAAAAGAATGAAATTTTACCACTGCAACAACATGGATGGACCTAGAGAATATTATGCTAAATGAAACAAATAAAACAAACAAACTCACAGATATAGAGAACAAACGATGCTTGCCAAGTGGAAGAGGGTACTGGGGGGCTGCGTGAAAAAGGTGAGGGGACTAAGAAGTTCAAATCAGCAGTTACAAAATAGTCATAGGGATGTAAAGTACAGCATAGGGAACAGGGAATACAGTCAATAATATTGTATTGTATGGTTTCAGGTGGGTACTTGACTTATTGGGGGAACCATTTAAGTTATACAAATGTCTAACCACTATGCTATATACCTGAAACCAATATAATACTACATGCCAATTATAATAGAGAAAAAAAAATTTTTTTATTTAAAAAAAAAAGAAAAAAGGAGCCCTAGCTGGTTTGGCTCAGTGGATAGAGGGTCGGCCTGCGGACTGAAGGATCCCAGGCTGGATTCCGGTCAAGGGCACATGCCTGGGTTGCAGGCTCGATCCCCAGTAGGGGATGTGCAGGAGGCAGCGGATCAATGATTCTCTCTCATCATTGATGTTTCTCTCTCTCCCCCTCTCCCTTCTTTTCTAAAATCAATAAAAATGTATTTTTTTTAAAAAATGGAACCAAGGAACTTGCCCTGGGTCCTAAAATGATTACAAGAGACTTTTGATAGTCACAGAAATCTAAATTTAAATACAATGCTGTAAGTTCCATAAAGCAGGCTTGTCTATCTTACTCACCACTGTATCTCAGGCACAGGGTCGGCACCTCAGATGACTAAACGCTTAATTAATATTCAATGAACACATGAGCAGTTATTCCTGAGGTCACTGACCTTCACACCTGGGCTCAGAGATATTCTTAATTATGTAAAATAAAATTCATGGTAGATTTGTTTTTAAAGATTGTATATTAAAAGAATCTTTCATTAGGATTAAATTTTGCTGTGATTTTACCAATTGCTTTAAGAAATTTTAAGTATTAAACTAACACTTATTGTGTATTATTTCTGAAGTAAATTATTAAAGTTGACTTATAATTGATCCCTATAATATGGACTCTTGTCATATTACCATATTGTGGCTACAAAAACCAAAATACTTTCACTTTTAGTAGGATACTTCCTCTTCTTAAAATTTGTTTTTAGCCAAAGAAGGTGTTTTGTTTGTTTTTTTAGAACATCAGAAATATCTCTTTATATAATCACTATTAATGATAAGTAAAGTCAAACACAGGCCTCAAGAACTTACCTAAGGAAGATACCGGAGAGTGAAAAAAGAAGTGCAGTTTGAATAATCTTTGAACAATAACAGTTTCAAGCTAAAAATAATTTTAAGTGCCTGCATCAACTTTCTCCATTCAATCATTTATTTATTCATTCACTAAATATTTAGTGAGAATCTTCTATGGGCCAAGAACTATTCTTTGTGCTTAGAATAAACAAAACAGGCAAAAATCTCTGTTCTCATGGAGCTTTCATTCTATTTTCTGCTTTTGGTCTTTCTGCCTTTAGAAAGTGAGGCAGAACATAGGAAATAAAGAACAGACCAAATAAAGCACAGCAGGGGCCCGGGAATGGGGACTGGATGATTCTGGGAAACACAGTGCATAGAAACTGCTTCCCCTGCTTGCTCTGTCATCCATTCAGTATACCTCAGAGGCAGCTCCCAACATAACGAAAGACCCATTTTCATTCTTACGTGTGTCAAGATAGAGGTGTAAGAGTCGGAAGTTATAATATTTATATCATGAGCCTTAAACTACTCTTTCAATGAAATACTGTATCACAAAAAGTTTTCAGGTACCTGATCAAAAAATATAAAACACTGGCAAAATTAAACAGAAAATGTTTATCTAATTTAGGTTTAAAATAAATAAGTTCTTCAAACCTCCTTGGGATAACTGAAGCATTTGAAACTGTTTATGCCCTATCTAATGGTTTATTTCAGCATTTTGAAATTTTCATCAGGGATAATGTACTGTGATTACGGTTTTTATTCATCAAGAAATCAAATTTTACAACTGACTCCTGGATCTTAAAAAATCATATTTAAACTACTCAAATAAATGTTGATTTTTTTTTC